ATAAGTAGGGATGTGGCTGTATTCAGAATTAACCAATCATATTTAAACTGATAGTAAATACGAACTGATGGTAAATAAGAACTGCCCACATAGCAATTCAAAAGCATGCAAATATGAGTAGATAAATAGATACCACTTCAGTGGGAAGATAACAGTGTTCTATATGTCATGCCAGCTAGATGACCATGGAAGTGTTTTCAGACAATGCTGACTCCCTTGATTAAGAAACAGAGATGAGCACTGCCCCTAGGGTCAGACTCGATTGGACAGAGGAAACCTTTACCTGTACCTTCATAGTAACAGAATCCTACACGACTAAATATGTTTAGCTCTCTCTCGTATTCTCTTTGTTTGATGTGGGCTTGTATGAAATGACTTCTCCAAGGGAAATGATCCTGAGGAGATCTAAGTTGAAATAACGTGATATGCCTTATGATCATTTTTCTCTATCTTTCGAATGTAAGATTATATATTCAAATATATATAAGACAAGAACAGGATAAAAATAATGTAACTGAAAAAGTATATCTTACTGTATATGTGGTGTGCATACATACATATATACGTACACTTATATTTTTTCATTTACATTTTCTTTTATTTTGTTATTATCTTGCTTCTAGTTTGTTGGATTGTAACTGCAATAGTTCAAATCAAAATTTAGCAAGGCAATAGTAAATATAAGGCCATTTAGAAGTAAGAATAGTATTAAACTTTTGTAGCCTTATGCATCCTTCTATTTCTTATATATTTATCAGAAGTCATCTAGTTTAAGTAGCTTTCTCAATTAAACTACAAAGTATGTAGTATGTTGTTGGAATATAGCATAAGTCACTCCATCTTGTAACCTTCAGTATGCTTAATTCTACACTTCTTCATGCCTACGTGCCTACGTGCTAGGCTGCAATCTGCAGCTGCAAACACGTAAGGACAGACAACTAAGAAGCAAGTCAACAAAGCTGTCTACACAAGCTATAATATTATCACTTCCTGATAAGACCTTCCAGTGT